GAGCCGCGTCCTCGCTTGTCCGCTGGTCCGTTCGCGCGTCTGCCCGCCGAACTGGCGCCCGCTGTCGCAGCCGCCGAGAGCAGCGCGTAGTGAGCAGCGTGTAGCCGCAGCGCAGCCCGCCTTCGCCGCCGCTGCCGCTGACTTGCCGCTGTCACATAGTGGAAAACGTGACCGCGCGCGCTGCGCCCGCCCCCGGCGCCCTCCATTGGTCGCGATGACTCTTCATTTGCATACCAGGGAGGCTGGCCTGCGTGTGTCGCACACCCATTGGCCACGGTGCCCGTCGCTCTCTTTACATAAGACGCACATGGAACTCCATGTTCACCGCGTCGGTTCTTCAATGAAGACGCGGAGCTCTCTTGCCCCCCCTCCTCGTTCTCCCGAGTGGTCCCTTCCACTTCCGGCCTCGGTGTCTTCCATTCAAGACAGCTCGCATCCCCCAGCTCGGGGAGCGCGGAGTGGCGCGTACCACCGCGGGACGGGGGGCGGAAACAGGCTCCTCCGCACCTCCTTCCAGCCGGCCAGCCGGCGAGCCCTCGCTGAAGTCCAGGCCCCGGGAGGCTGCCACCTTCAGCGACAGGCCAGAGCACGTCCCCAGCGGTCGCGGGAAACTCCCTGAGGACATCTTTCATTCACGCATTCGCATTCATTGACTCTCATTCATTCGCCGCTAGGCGCTGAGCTCCGGTGAGGACCAACACCAGGTGGTCCTGCAAGAGCTCCCGGAGCACGCCCACCCGGACCACCTAGGTCCCAGATCTTCCAGAACTGCCAACTTCCAGGAGGCCTTTCTTAGTGTTTAGACCATGTATCTCAATTTTTGGTTCAGGAAATAGGATCATTTTTACTATGGGAGGTACGAATGAAATGATGTCCCTGCATTCCCACGTCATTAGGGAATTTAGTCAAATACTGAATTGGGTATTGTGAATCATAAATTAACCAGGGCGGCAATTATCCCAGAGGTCCTATGATGGAGGCAGCACTTGAAGAGAAAGGAAGGCATAAGCCACAGAGACACAGAGTACTGGGCCCTGGACACCTTGGCTGAGGCCATTTGTTCTTTTAGTAAACACTGTTTGGGGCATGTTAAACCCGCAGCCTTCTGTCTAAAGTGTCAGGATAGTGACCCAGTAGAGAGCAGAGGCCTGCTTGTAGGACCTGACACAGAATGCAGACTCCAAGGCAGCAGGCTCTGAAATGCCGAGTCTGATGGGAGAGGCAAGGCTGTCAGGGCTCTGAAGGGCTGAAGGGGAGCTAGCTGTCCAAGAAGCTGGGGCCTGCAGCATCTCCCTCCACGTGCCTGCTCTCCTTGGCCTCTCCTGGGGACCAGGGATGGAAGGGAAGGAAGAATTATAATCTGATAGCCTGCAGGCAAACTAAACTGCCAGTTCCTGAAGCCAAACCCACACTCAGGAATTCTTACCACTTCTTTCCCTCTCCTTAATAAGGTGTGTATGCAACTTGGTCAGACAGATGCAAACTAGGGCAAATACCAAGTTCATTGGGACAAGCCTTCTCATGTAGGCCCTGGGAGGTCTGCTGTGTGGCCCACACTTCACTGTGAGACTGTCCCCTCCTCCTGTTTCTCTGACATTGAAACCTGGACAGACTCCCTGCTCCACTCCCTAACACACACACACACACCACACACCCAAGCAAATCCAGCCCCAGCTGCAGTGACACACCCACCAGCCCTTTTGTCTCTTCACAATCATTGACGTCAATGGTGAGCTCCATTGTTCTGGAAACAAGTGTAAACAGACAGCTCATCCACACAGAGATTTTCCTGCTGCTCAGCTTTCCTAGGTCTTGCTCCATAGTCAGCCTGCAGCATATGTCACATTTCCTCCCTAAACTTAGCCTTTTTATTTGATATTAAAAATATTGAAATAAGTTTTTTAGAAATTAAATGTCGTGGGCTTCTAGACTCTTCAGAATTTAATCTATGCTCAGTGTCCCCACAGCTAGTTTCTTCATCTTGTTATGGGAAACTTTCATTCACTGCATGGATATTTGTTGATACCTGGGTATGGGGGGGGAGGGAGGGAAGGTGAGGAGGGTGCAAACATGCATCTCATTGGATCCTTTGCTTGTCAGGAGTTTGCAATGTAGGAGTGATGAGGCAGGTTCAGAGGCAGTCCAAGACTGGGTGTAAGTCCCGGGAAAACAGGACAGCCCTGGGCAGAAGCCTCCACACCAGCTCCAACAGAAGAACACTGAGGGGTGCAAACCTCCAGGACCAGCCCAAGTCCATGGGTGCCGTTCCCACTGAACAAGGTGGTGTGTGTTGGGGCATCCAGGTTGCGGGGGGTGGGATGAATACTTTCTTGATCAGCCTGCACTGACCTGGAGACATATTGAGATTAGCTGTCACCTCTAGCCCAGAACTGTTGGCCAGGCAAATTGCTCTTGGCCCCAGGGAAGGCAGGCTGGCGAGAAGGAAGCCTGGGGGTGGGGTGGTGAGCCAGGTCCCCAGCTGCCTGAGGAATGCTGTTCTGGAAGGGGCTGGTCTCCAGTCTCAGCCTTCCCCCCTTTCTCCTAGCCAAAGGCTGCTCTGCCCCAATCCCGGGTCCATTCCCACCACTCTATTTCTTCCAATGGGTCTGGCTTAAGTTGGTCCTGCCCACCCAGGTCTGGGCCCTGCCTGCAGGACTCCTCTACACCTGCGTCTCCATGCCCTCGCCAGGCCACTCGCTGGCTCTCTGATTCATTTATGCAGTCAGCCAGCTGTTTTCTGGGCAGCTACTGTAGGACGGCATTGTGCTGGTCATTGCTTCCTCTTCTACCGATCACATGGTTTGTGGGTCAGCAAGCAAGGACGTGGGCTGGGATGGCAAAGACAGGGAGCTGGGAAGGGCCAGTGTCTCTAAGGAGGTGTTAGGACACTGTCAATCTTTCTCGTCCCCTGGACCTAGAGTCCCCTTCCTGGGTCCAGGGACTTTGGTGATGAGAATGCCTGAGTCTGAGCTCAGTCTTCTTCATGCCTGGTTCTGGTACATAGCTGCTCAACCCAACTGCTCTGGGCTGGGGACAGTGGCAGCTCCTGGCAGGGACATCCTCAGGTGGATGGGCCCACAGAGATTGGCAGCTGTGTCCAGGGGCTGCAGACACCGGTGAGACAAGGCCCACCTATCCCTCGTGGTCAGGAAGGCCCTGGATCAGACAGCACCCAGAGAGCTGATGCATCTGTCATGAGGTGGTCTATGGACCAGTGTAGAGAAGGCACATTTATTGGGTGCCAGCCACCTGCTGAGAAGGTGTTTTTATTTATTTGTTTGTTTGTTTGTTTTTAACTAAATGTAGATCCATGGAAGGCTGTTCTTTGTTTTGGGGAGATATGTAGGTGTTATATGTGGTTATAGGTCTTCCCCAGGAGGTCATAGGTTGAAGCATCAGCAGTGAACAGCCTCCATCATTCTCCCCGACCCCTGGAGAAGACACTCTAAAGGGAACCAAGCACGTCTTTGTGGAGTGCCACTTGGCCATCTGTGAGACATCCCGGACATCACAGGATGATGGCACAGGCTAGGACCTCTAGTAGTGTGTCTAGTAGAGGCGGTGCGCGTAGACATCCTTGTTCTGTTCCCGGTGTGAGGGGGAAAGTGCTCAAAATTTCATCATGAAGTATGATGTTAGTTTCAGGTGCTCAGTTTTTGTGTGTGTGTGTTTTTAAATAGCTGCCCTTTGTCATATAGAGACAGTATTTTTCTTTGATAGTTTGCCAAGAGCCTTTTTATAACATCATTGGTACAAAGGGCTTTTAATCCATGGCAACTACTCTTTTAAAGTATTTCCCCCAATAAATCTAGTCCATATTTGCTGGTCTGCAAAGAACTTAAATCACACAACTTTGTCTCTACTATGCTGCATTCTTTAGAGACTTGCTTACTGGTACTTCATTATTGTGTCTTAAAAAAAATGAATTTAAAAATTGCTGCCAAGCCGGTTTGGCTCAGTGGATAGAGCGTCAGCCTGTGGACTGAAGGGTCCTGGGTTTGATTCCAGTCAAGGGCACGTACCTCCATTGCAGGCTTGATCCCTGCCTGGCCCTGGCCAGGGCTCATGTGGCTGGCAATCAATTGATGAGTCTCACATGGATGCTTCCCTCTCTCTGTCTCTCCCCCTCCCTTCCACTCTCTCTAAAAATCAATGGAGTCTGGCTGGCGTGGCTCAGTGCATGAGCGCTGACCCATGAACAAGGAGGTTGCAGGTTCCATCCCCAGTAGGGAGTGTGCAGGAGGCAGCCAATAAATGAGTCTCTCTCATCATTTCGCTCTCTCTCTCTCTCTCTCTCTCTCTCTCTCTCTCTCTCTCTCTCCCCTGTGCAGGAGGCAGCCAATCGATGATTCTCTCTCATCATTGATATTTCTCTCTCTCTCTCTCTCCCTCTCCATTTTTCTCTGAAATCAATAAAAAATATATTTAAAAAAAATCAATGGAAAAATATCCTCAGCTGAAGATTAACAACAACCAACTTCTCTTATCAGTTTTCCAGAGAAAAGGCATTATTTTAACTGAAGCCAAAAAACTGTTTGCTATTGTGTCACTTAGGATAGGGTTAAACTTCAAACTTCCTGGTCCTGAGGCCATTAAATGAACAGCCCAGGACTTAACCAAGGGGAGAGCTGTGCCCTTCGGTGAGGGAGATGGGCGGCAGTGGGTAGGTTGAGTTGGGCAGATCTTTGCCCTGAGACTTGAGGGTCAGTGTTTGGGTCAGCTTCTCTGGTCTCTGGCAGCTTGAGCCCCTTCCCAGAGTTTCCGGGCCACCATCTCCCTCACTGTCCTGGCGGGCCCCGGAAAGGCAGCTTGCCAGCAAGGCCCTCCATGTCTGAGGTGACCCCCATGTCCAAGGTGATCCCCATGTCTGAGGTGACTCCATGTCCAAGGTGACCCCCATGTCTGAGGTGACTCCATGTCCAAGGTGACTCCCCTGTCTGAGGTGACCCCCATGTCCAAGGTGACTCCCATGTCCAAGGTGACTCCAATGTCTGAAGTGAACGCCATGTCCAAGGTGACCCCCATGTCCAAGGTGACCTCTATGTCTAAGGTGACCCCCGTGTCCATGGTGACTCCCATGTCTGAGGTGACACCCATGTCCAAGATGACCCCCATGTCCAAGGTGACCCCCATGTCTGAGGTGACCCCCATGTCCAAGGTGACCCCCATGTTTGAGGCG